CAACCTGGCTCCCCCATGCACTCGCCTTGTGACCTTGGGCAAGTTATTTACATTCTTTGTGCCTCAGTTTCCTCTTGTGTAAAGGCAGAGAGAATGGCTTTCCGACCCAGTGTTAGGAGTGAATAATTTACCATAATAAATAGGGCCTCCATAAATGTCACCTTTCATTATGCTGAGAATTATTTGTTAGAAGGAAGAAAATAGATGGACTTCCTTTTCAATGTTCTTTATATTTTATTTTATCTTTTATTAACGTACAAATTGTACATATTAATGCAGTTCAGATAGCTTTTAAAAAAAAAAACTTCATTTTGAAAGAGAAAGGTCAAGGAGATGAACCGAAACAGAAAAGATAGATAGGAAATAGCAACCCTCATTTTATTTAGTAACAATGATATAAAAGGGTACAGGGCTGGGGTTGTAGCTCAGTGGTACAGTACTTGCCTCTCATGCGTGAGGTCCTGGCTTCAATCCTCAGCACCACATAAAGATAAATAAATAAAAATTTAAAAAATGAAAAAAAAAGACAGGGTACACTCATAATCTCATTCACTTGTTACCATAACTCTTTGGGGTACTTGTTATTAGGAGCCATGTTTGGGTGACGAAGCTCCTTCTTAGAGGTTCACCACTGTGCTCTGATAGCACATCACATTTGAGCCCTGGTGACTCTAGGTGTACATGTCCCCTCCTCCATTCTAAGCTATCAGGTGGGGGAAAAGGAAAGAGTCATTGTACTTTTTCAGCCATAAACTGAAACTTGTCTCCATAGTGATAATGTATGACATTTAATGTCAAGATTATGATGATAAAACATGACATCATTCTTAACCTCTGGTGCTAAAACCCATTATTAATAGTAGTCTGGAGCATTTTATAAACATGCTTGCTTCTATGAGTATGCCTAGTTCAACATTCACCAGACTGCTATTGTTTGGGCGTTCAAAGGTAGAGGTGAATTCAAGATAATCCTTAAACAATGCAGCGAGTGTGTGCAAAATGTCAGGGCCGGTGAACCAGAACAAGTAGAAGCTCATCATTGTTTATGTTCATGTCAACAGAATCTCATCACTTGACTTAAAAATCCATAAGATGGTTCCCAATTTAGTACAATGGTTTTCAAAACTTGACCAAGTTAGATGCAAATCATTCTGTGATTACGTGGCAGTTACTGCTTTGTGACAGCTCTCTCTGTGAATCGACTGTCTCCCCTCAGCAAGAGCTGCCTCTCTGAATGACAAGACTGGTGTCTCCTTTGGGCCAGCTTTTTCCTTGTGCTTTGCTCCATTTTGCACTGTTATGATACGTGGCCTTGCTCCCCTAAATCATAGCTTTGGGAAGACGGATGAGGTCAGCCTTTCCTCTAAGGCCACTTCTTCATGGCTCCACTGAATTAAAGAGAAGCCACTGAAGTACACTGCCATATGTCATAGTGACTTGCTGTTCTCTTTATCTCAGCACAGTGGCGAGTCCCCTGAACTCAGTGCATGTTTTAATTAGCGCACAAGGAACACCTTCCTTAGTTTCTCATCACAGGATTGTGACCTTTGAAGTTTCCTTCAAAGAGTTTGGTGGGTTTTGAGATTGACAGGTCAATGTAAAAAAATTATTTTTTGCTGATACAAAGTATCTATAAAAAATATAAACTGTTCTTTATTCAACCTAATCCCCCCAAACAGTGCTGAGACAGCTGCATTCACTCTCCAACAGCAGAATCTTTCAGATCCATTTCTAGGTGCTCATCTCACTTGTATGTACAATGCATATGTGATCTAGTTTAGATAAGGGAAAAAATAATCTCAGGGAAGTCTGAACATGATCCATGAGCCAGGCTCCCCTGGATGACACTTCTATGAAGAAGTCTTGACTCTCAATGATCTAGGGAAGGAGTCTTATCAGATGTTGCTCCAGCCCCTGGTAGGGGTAAGGAGATGAATGAGAAGAGTGATCTGCACAGAGTGAGTTGCCAGGATAAGATGCAGGGGAAGCGGGCACCCAGTCTCTGTGCTCAGCAGTGTTTTGTTTGTAAAGTTCTCTGTAGCTCACAGCTATTTTTGACATTGGCATGTGCTGGCTTTGCAGAATGGATAGTCAGCTTGGCATCTCAAAACACTGAATAGATCTTGGTTTTAAGAAAGTCAGTTTGGCATCTCAGAATGTTGAATAGATCTTGGGTTTAAGAAACTAGAGGCAGGCATCTGGTAGAAGCCCCTTAAAGCTGTAGCATCTTAAATGGAGGCATTATCTGCCCTTATGTTGGAATACATGGAATTAACCTTGCCAGCCAAATATTCTTCTAGTGCAGTCTAGACATCAGCATTTCAGAGACAGCCTATGGTGGAATACAATGAGTTTGGAGACTCACAGTAATTAGACCTGCCACCAGTTTCAATTCCCCAGTGGAAGCTCTGGTTAATGGCCAGGTGCTGATTTGCATCTTGTTCCCTCTTTCTGGAATGTTCCTTCTTTTCCATGTCTTAGCTGATTCCTATTCATTCTTTAAAAACTTAATTCAAACTAAGCATCAATTCCTCTCAAGGGCCTCCATGACAACACAAGTGCTCTAGTCTGATTTAAAAACCCTTGGTTCTCCCAAAATGCTTAAATATCATTTAGATCACCTTACATTGCCCAGTAAAAGGAGCTATATTTGTTTGTAAGGAGCCACATTTTGTTCAACTTTTTTTTTCAGACATAGTTGATGAAAATACTTTTAGGTCTGGGAGGGACTATTTATAAACTGATACTTTTGTTGCCAAATTATAAAAGGTTTCTAAGAACCAAGAGTTTTCAAAGAAGTCTTTGGTGACTAATGCAGGGATTGCATTACCCAGGCCTCGGGCTTCTTCCTCAACTTTTGAACACTGGCTACAATGACAGGCACCATTAATGAGCGTAAGGGAAAATAAATCCCCAAAGCTTTTCTACATGGAATAGGAATAACACTCATGTAAATAGAACCAATGTCATACAGCCTGGACCACCCAGGGAATTTAGGATATACATTCACCCCTAGTTGATTCCAATCACATTATAAAATCTATGGAATGCAAGAGCCAGATAGAATTTTTGAAGTCGTTTGTTCATATTTCCTCATTTCACTGATGTGAAGACCCATGCCTATGGATTCTATACATCCTGCCCCCAAGTACATATGACAACCTAGTGACAACCTAGGCCTCCTCCTTTGTAATTCGAAGGTTTGTGTAAGTTTTGCTTGCATCATCTCCCCTCCACTCCTACTTCTTTAGGGCAGTCTTCAGAGATAAACTCAGAGTCAAATTTCATTTCTGGCATTTTTAATTTATTATTAATTAATTTATTTATTAATTCAATAAAGTGAATTACTGAACTAATGCAAGTCCTAGTTTCTTCTTTTATACAGTAAAGATCACAGTATTCTTCTTTAAATTTTGCTGTGTGATAAAAGAGGAAACATCTGTAAGTTGGGTGGCACACCTGTGTCTGGTACCCGTCTTTCTACTAACTGTAGTAAATACTGTAAGATTTTAAAACCCAAGAGCATAGTGTAAAGCATCTCTTTTGCAAAACAAAAACAAAAACCAACCAAACAAACAAACAAACAAAACCCCAAAATGCAGTAAAAGAACTGACATTTTAAAATTCTTTTGGTGTGGAGATGGTTAAAAAAAAATCCTTCTGCTTTAAAGCCTGGCTGGACCAGCGCTCCCACTTTCCACATAATGTACCCTTCTCCGTGGAGGCAGTCACGTATAGCAGGCATATAGTAACGCAGTGTGCAGCACAATGCTGTACTGTGGCACTTGTTTGCTTTCGCACCTCTGCACCTCTCCTACCAGGTACCTACCATCAGGTTGCCAATTTCAGTTGCTGCCTGCCTTTCTTCTCCTTTCCTGCCCACTGCTGCTTTAGGCATATGTCTTTTCTGAGGTCAGATCCTTTTAGGGACACAGAATTAAAACCTCACCAGAGTGACCTAGGCTCTGGCAACCTCAGGGACCTGAGTGTTGTCTGCATATCTGACCACAGGTCTGCTCTTGCCAGGGTCCACTTCCTTCTCCACCGGCCCCTTAGAGCTTGCCTAGCTAATTTCTTTCTGTCTGATAATGAGGTTTATAAAAGACTCGAAACCCGACTGAGTTCTACAGGTGGATTCGGCAGCTACTCCTACTGATCCCCTGTCAATCTCCCCGCAATAAACGCAAGGACCAGGGGTGTTTCATATGGAGACAAAATTTGGTTGTTTCTCTTCCCGAAGGCGGCTCCGTTTCGTTCCAGGAGGCAGTACCCCGAGGGTACTCTGCGCGGTTTGCATCTACTGCGGTGGGTACTGCGCCCCAGGAAGACGCACAAACAGGTACAGCCTGGAGCGCTTGAAGAAGACCCGGACCAAAGCGGTGTGGTTGGGAAGACTTCGCAGGGCACTCCTAATCTTCATCCCTGAGTCAGGTCCCCAACCCACCCGATCCCAGAGGAGAACCAGAAGTTACTTTCCTAGCCTCTTAAGTAGCAGCCGGAGCCCTGCATCAAGAAGTGAGAGCGGCGCACCGTACGCCCTGTACGCCACCCCAGGCAGTGCGGAACCTCCTTGTCAGCTGAAGTTATGTTCCATAGCTCCTGTCTGGAGGGACCGCGACGAGCACTCTATCCCCTCATCCAGGGTTAGGGGTATAAAGAAAACTTCCGAGAACTGAAAGGTAGGGAGTTGAAAGTCTTCCTGAGGGGTCTCCCCAAATTCCCCTTTGCCGGAAGGAGTGATGGGGACGAGGCCACCCTGATGGTACATCACCCATATTCTCTCCAGCAAGCCGGTTATCCCTAGATCCCTAGCACCCGCAGAGCACACAGACCTGCGCGCCTTTTCTCAGCGCCACCTCGCGATCCCAAGGACCCGCACAGACAGCTAAGGGTGTGCGCGCCAGGCGTCCCGCGTGCCCTCGTCCGAGCGTGGGGCGCTGTCCCTGCTCGACAGCCGCTCCCGCCTCCCGCCGCGACAGCCCGTGGCTCTTGCCGCTCACCATATGGCCATCCTGCTCTTGGGGTAATCCAGCCGCTCCAGGCAGCCTAGGAAGTGAGGCAGCGTGTGCGCAGCGTTGCGGGCGAGGATGGCCACGAGCACCGTGGGTTTCTGCAGGGGCGACTCTGGGAAAACCAGCGGCTCTTCTTCATCATCC